TTCTCTCTCCTCCTCTCTTCTTATTCAGACTTGTAAATGAATCTACCCCCCCCATCTCTCTCTCACTGTTTTCTCCAGTTTTTGCAGACTCTCACTCAGCGTCTTCTTTTTTGAACTCGGAAGCCCTTGGGCTTTCCGAGTGTTTTGCCGCTTGAGCTGCCGGGCTCTTCGGCTACTCAAGCCTCCTGGAGCCGGTTACGTGCTCCCTGCTCCGATGACCCCTGGGTGGTCTGTCGGCTTTTGGGATCCCTTCTGGTGGTCCTTTTCTTGTTTTTTTTTCTGTTTTTCTGTTTGTTTTGTTCGTTTGGGCTTAGATCCGGTGGCCGTCCAACCCTCACGCGGATCTACCGTGGTGGTCGCTGGGTTCCCAGATCTGGTGGCCACCGCCGGTTTGGCTTCCCGCCTCGGCGTCCTGGAGACTAAGCGCCACTCCTACACGAGTAGATTGAAGGGTGTTCAGTTATCTGGATCGTTCGACCAGAGGAACCGGTAATCTGCTCCTTTGAGGTTGTCCGGGTGCACTGTTCACCTCCCTTCCTTGCCACTGCAATTGGGTCTACTCCGGATTTACTCTCCAGCTGTACTCTCTCTGGTTGTTTTTTTACTCTTATCCCGTGGATAAGATTTTCTGTAGATGCCGTAATGGCGGTGCTGTAATGCAGTGCTTTCTCTGTGTTCAAAAAATGACTTGTAAATGAATCTAAAAAAATTAAAATAAGGGACTTCTTTTTCCCTCCCTTCCTTTCAATTCCTTTTTTTTTTTTTTTTTTGATAAAAGATGAATTTATTTATCCAAAAATATTTGTGAACATCATAAAGCAACATAAGAGCTGTTATCAGAGAAAAGAGGCTAAAAAATACACATGTAGCTAGTGCACATTTTATTGTTGCATTGAAAATTAATCTATCACAACTATTTCAAGTCCCCACTGAATTGCAATAGCCATAGGAAGTGATGAAGACCTTGGCTGGGCAAACTCCAGCATTCTAGCTCTAACCTCAAACTGAACCTCACGAAGGATTGTACTCTCACTTCTAAAGAGCTGTAGATGAACTCTTTTATTTATTTTGATCCAAATGTTGTAGATTATGGCATTCCATGAGAGTTTGAGCAAAATACTAAGCAAGGATTTTCGTCTGATCCTTTTCCCCATCCAATGTAATAAATCTTGCTAAGAGTCCACAAAAGGAATATTGATCATAGTACTAATTTGCCTCCATATTTTGCTAGCATAACTACACTTAAAAAATAAGTGCTCAGATGTTTCTGAACCATTGATGCATAAGATACAAGTATTTGAGATAGTAGGGGTCCATTGCTTCTGTCTAGCTTTTGTAGTCAATCTGTTAAGTATGGGTAGCCAACCTATGAAGTTGTATTTGGAGATGGCATAAGGAAACCAAGTTTATATCATACCTTCTTGGACTGTTTATTTCTCAACCAATGACAAGTTTGAGCAATTTTAAAAGATCCAAAAGGGGAGATCACCCAAATAACTAAATCAATTTCACCTTCCCTAGGATGAATATTAAAATGAGGTATTTAGATTTCCACTAGCGGGGGAAGTCTAGTAGGAAGGCAATTCCAAAATCTACTATTTATAACACTAGCCAGTTTAGCTTGGAAGCGTATCCCTGCATCATGAATAATAGAATTTCCATAACTTCTAGCAATAGGCTCCAAGTTTTACTAAAAAATAAAAACAACTATAGAAAGCGGTAGTTATGTAGCCTTAGTTTTACTAAATAATTCCCATCATTATGTGTAAGTAGATCTTTTGCATATTTGAAGCATATTACATATATTTAATGCACTTAAAATTTTTTAAGATTTCTAAAGATTATTTCCTAACAAGTATTTGAACCATGTTTCTTAAAAACTGCCAGACGAGATATAATTCATCGTTTGTAATTATTTTAATTACGATTGAGTAATAGGCATAATATTGACTTTAAAAATTGGATTTATTAATAAATAAATATTATCTTATAGGTCAAATTTAGGGTTCAAGTCTTGAGCCCAACATCCAAGAAATTAATTTCTTTGAATATATTAGATTAATATAGGGGGTGTACCTTTAAAATCATGCTCTAAGAAATTAATCTTAAAATACATGAAAACTTTGATTAATGTGCTTTGTAGAAAGTGATATAAAGTTACTTATGAATTTGTTAGCTCATATATCATATGCTAGAAAATGAATTAGTTACCAAACCATTGGAGTAACGTTAATTTATTGTGAAGGATTCAAGTGTGGCATTGATTGATGGGGAAAGTTTCAAGCAGAGTTTTATTTGTTTTAGTTGATGAAGTCTTAGCACTGAGGATGGTTCTGGGCAGAGCAGATGCTATGAAGTTTAAGAACTTGCCTGGTGTGATTAGAGTTATTGATAAAAGTTTTGCTTAAAAGAATCTGTTGTAGAAATTTTACTTATAAGAAGCTCTCAATAGGAGCATTAATTTGGTGCTTCTCGATTTCTTTTATGTTAAAACCTCCAAGTCCAACATTTTAGAGCTTTTGAAAAGCAATTCTTAAAGTGGGCCTACAACTTGTGCTTTTAAACTTGTGAAGCTTCTTTTGCAAGCTGCACCAAACATGTTAATATCTTTTTTTTCAATCAAATAATCAGGAGCTTATGTGAATAATGAATAGTGACAGCTTCCCTTCCAGCATGGCCGATCCAACCTCTAGTTCCTGATACTTAGCTGATGACTGGGAAGCTTTACATACTTTGGTCACCTCTCATTTTTTACTGACTAACAGCTTCACACAACAAAACGACCAACCAGACAGTTCTCTCTTATTCTATTTCATGTGATGTTTATTTTTGACCTTTCACATCCACCGTTAATTGTCAAAAATACTTTTATGTGTTTTGGGGATAAAAATTGCATTGTGTAATTTAAATTATCTTAGACTACATAATTTACTCTACTAATTAAAGTGAACTTTTTAATATTAAAATTTTTTTATTTAATTATTCTTATTTTACGTTCAAACAGCAAAACAGTGAAATTCATTTAAGGAATGTGCACCCACCCCACACAACTATTTCCCCTTTCGTTTAAAAGCTTTGGGTCATAAGGATCCAAAAAGATTGGATCGTGGTTAATTA